AGGGGCCAGACCCCCCAGGGTCCTTAGGCATTTCCTATAGCCAAACCCTAAGACTTCTCACTTTGCCGTGTACCTGACTCACTAGTCTTTCTCTTCTCCTGGACTGTGAACTTTGGGGTCAGAAATGGTCTTATTTCTCTCCATACAGCTGGCCACATAAGCCCCATTATATGTTGTTGGGTTTTTTTCATTGAATGAATGCCTACATTCAGTAGACACGCAAAAGCACTGTCTGTCAGACTCCACACGAAGACGGGTCTGTTACTTCACTCAGATTGTCCTGTGCCCAGAAAATGATGGTCCTGGCTGAGACAGCATCACATAATGGGATGTGGGACCTAGCATTAGTTAGTTCTAGCTTTGAATCCCAGTTCTGCCACTTAACTAGCCATGTGGCCTTAGACACATTAATTCACATTTTCAGCCCTTTTAAAAAAATCATTTTATTGGGGGCTCTTACAGCTCTTATAACATTCCATACATCAATTGTGTCAAGCATATTTGTACATATGTTGCCATCATCATTTTCTAAACATTTAGTTTCTATTTGAGCCCTTGCTATCAACTCCTCCTTTTTCCCACTTTTCCCCCATCCCCACCCTCATGACCCCTAGATAAAGTATTATTATTTTCATTTCTTACACTGACCGCTATCTCCCTTCACCCACGTTTCTGTTGTTCATCCCCCTGGGGTGGGGGTGGAGTTTATGCGTGGATCATTGCAATTGATTCCCCCAGTTTTAGTCTTATTATATTATACACATCTACAAAATGGGGTTATTTCTTACAAGATTGGTGTGTTAACTAAATGGATGCATACGAATTGCTTGCATATAGCAGGTGTTCAGGAAATCAGTATTAATTGCAGCCCCTCTCTGGTAGCTGCTCAAGGAATTTTCACTCACTTGGCCTCCTTACTGTTGAGATATAATTAGCCTGTTCTGTAACACACCCTGTAATCACCAAGGTTACAGAGGTTTGAAACTCTTCCAAGAAATTGTTTTGGAAGTGTTAAGTACAGAAAATTTCTATAAGAGATCATTGCTTTTCTACTAGTAACATTTTATACCAAAATCCAATTTTTTTTAAAAAAAATTGTGTTTTAGGTGAAAGTTTGCACTACAAATTCTGTTCACCTTTAGCAATTTCAATCAAATTGTTCTGCACTATTAGTTACAATTTTTGCATTGTTTATATTCTGTTTGATCTGCTTCCATTGATCTAGCTCCCCCACCCCCTATGCCTCCTTGCTTTCTTACCTTTACTTTTGGGTAAATGTTGATTGTTTGGTCTCATCGATGTCATTGTTTAAGGGAGTACATTACTCATGGGTGATACTGTGTATTTTATAAGGCCATCTATTATTTGTCTGAAAGAAAGGTGACCTGAATGAATAGCTTCAATTTCACATTCAAAAGTTATTTTAGGGCCATAGTCTTGGGGGTTCCCCTAATCTTTATTGGTTCAATCAATAGTGCTGGCCTTTTTTAGGAATTTAAGATTTGTTCTGTGTTTTGCTTTCTTTTCTTTTTTTAGGGCCTTCTGTTGTGTCCTTGTTCTAAATAAATTATAGTGGTAGTTGAGCACCAGCTAGTTCTTTTGGTCTTAGGTTAGAAGAGGCTGTCATGCATGTGGGCTATTAGTCTTGTGGACTAGTTTCTACTTTGAGGCTTTGATTTCCTTCTCTTTTGCTCCCTGTAAACAGACCAGTAGTTGTGCCTTAGATGCCACTTGCACGCTTTTAAGATCCCAGACATTATTCACTGAAGTAGGATATAGAACAATATCGTTGGAACTGTGTCATGACAAGGAACTACCAGAATTTCAGCCTGGTTTCAGAAAAGGACGTGAAACAAAGGATATCCGATGTCAGATGGATCTTGGTTGAAGGCAGAGAATACCGGAAAGATGTTTCCTTGTGTTTCATTGACTACGCAAAGGCATTAGGCTGTGTGGGCCATAATATACTATGGATAACATTGAGAAGAATGAGAATTCAAGAACACTTCATTGTGCTCATTCAAAACTTGTACATGAATCAAGAGGCAGTTGTGCGAACAGAACAAGAGAATACTGCATGGTTTAAAATCAGGAAAGGTGTGCATCAGGGTTGTATCCTCTCACCATACTACTCAGTCAATCTACATGCTGAGCAAATCATCAGAGAAGCTGGATTGTATGAAGAAGAGTGTGGCATCAGGATTGGAGGAAGGCGTATTAACAATCTGTGGTATCCAGGTGACACAACCTTGCTTGCTGAAAGTGAGGAGGAATTGAAACACTTGCTGATAAAGACCAAAGATTATAGCCTTCAGTATGGATTACAACTCGATGTAAGGAAGACCAAAATCCTCACAACTGGGCCAGTAGGTAGCATCATGATAAATGGAGAAAAGGTTGAAGTTGTCAAGAATTTTGTCTTGCTTGGATCC